GGCATCCATCCCCGACCTCATTGGGAGGAACAGATTTACTCTCAGTGGGATCAGGCCTGGAGAGATTAGCAGACAGAGAGAGGTTATCGAGATCAAGACTCCCAGGGAGTTTGTGTGAAAATCTTACAGTGCTGTAAGGGATACAAAACAATGTAATAGTAAAGGACCGGTAAATCCTTTTAGTGCCATAACAAAAGCAATCCTGCGTGAATTCGGTAACCAATAGAATAAACCGAAACGGTGTTATGAATCATAACAATTTATGATGCCATGAGATACGAACGGTAGTACAATAAACGAAGTGAACACTGAGTAACTTAGATTTTGATTGTTACATTGTGTATTATATTTAACACACAAAATAGTTCCAAACAAATTTAAAGCAGAATCGCCTGCATGCTGCGAATATCCAAACAACAGCACACAATAGCGGCGTTCTGTAGTTTCAGTGATTCAATGATTCATTCGTAAAGAAAGTCACTTGTGTCCTTGCTAAATGAATCAATGTGCTGAACGAATCAGTTGACTGAATGATTCAAAGATTCACTCATAAAGAAAGTCACTTGTTGCCGCTTACTTGCTCTATAAAATCTATGGTTAGTGTTGCAGCACCATGGGTAGTTTTAGGTTATCATGGTTTAACTATAATAACCTTTTTGTAGTAAAACCATGGTTCATTTTTGTAAGGGAATTGGAAAAAAAAAATCAAACCTGAGCCATTGTATTTGAGTGGTCTCTGCTTTTTTTTTACAATAATTTATTGATGCTGGGGTCAAAACACTGATTGCTCTTTTTAAGTGTAGTATCAACCATTTACATTGGATTTAGAAAACACTTAATTTACTTTTAATTCACTGTTCCCCATTATAGGGCACCAAATGCATTAGTGCAAATGGTTTCCCAGCTGTTTCTCATCAGGCAGATGTGTTTGTTTGCATTGTTAATTCATGCACAAGTGAGCTTTCAGTGTCTGGTCCTGATTTAACATTTGCATTAGCTTTTGGAGTCTTCTGCTGGTGTCGGAGTCTTCTGCTCATTGAAACAAGCAGGAAATGAAATTATTAGAGCATCCAGGGAAATACTACGGTACATTAGTGCAGTAATCAGATTAATTCACAAAAGGTTTTGCAATTAATTAAGTCATTTAACAATGGTGAAGCAAAGTGTCAGTGCATTTAAAAACTATGATCACTGATCGGTGCACAGACTGTTTGGCATATTCAAATAGCTTGTTTAGTAAACATAAAAAAAAACAAAAAATAACCAATACTATAAGAATCCAGTTAGACAGACTTACAGATTAGTTATAGTGATTTTTTTTTTCTTGAATGTACATCATATATAATATTTGCATGTTAAGAAGGTTACATAGCCTACTGAATGTATTTGTATGTAAATAAGATTTGCATATTTAAATTCACTTGGACTACTTTTTCCTGGAGAAATGAGAAGGGGCTTTTAAAACTGACCAGCATAAATGAGTTGATAGCTATAAATGTGAGGTCCAAAATAAATATCCATGATGCAATTGTTGATCGCTGGATATTTTAAATAAAATTAAAATAATTAAATAATTTAAGTATCATTGGCATACAGAATGGTTAAAATATTTTCTTTTATATTTTTAAATATAGCTTTTTTTATATTGATTATTGTATCCAAATATAATTGATACCAAATATATGGGCAGATATAAAAGATAAATCAACAAAACTGTCTTTAACAATTCACATTTGTGACTGGACCACAAAACCAGTCATAAGAAGCACGGGTATATTTGTAGCAATAGCCAACAATACATATGGGTCAAAATTATCGATTTTTTATCGATTTGACCCTTATGACTTCTCTCTCTCTCACTGATTTTCTCCCGCGCGCTCCCTCTCTATTACATTTTCACTCCATGTGATTCTGTAATCAATCAGCGCTGCTTTGGTGGAGTGAATGAATTTTGCATACATTCTGCCTGTGTCATAGTCTATTAATATCCTCGTGTAAGCCTTTTTTATGAATAAATTATTCTCAGTCGAGATGCACGTCTTAGCTTTTCGACCAGCAGACTCATCAAATGCATTCAGCTGCATTGATTGTTTGATTGACAATGTGTATTACCTGACTAAGATTGTTAATATCTCTCACTTTCTCATATCTTTCTGTATGTGAGTAGCCTATGGTTTCAAATAGTATTGCAAGTTGTTGATATGTCATCTGTGTTAGGGGGGAAAAGGCATATGGATTTGTTGTGTTGCAATAGCCAGAAAAGGCAGAAATGTTTATTTTAGTGGTTGGAGTAATTTTTTATAACCAGCAAACCATGGTCAGAATTTAACCGGTTTTAGGTAAAAATGCCACTGAAAAGTCACACACACACACACAATGCACAGATATTTATAAAAATGTATATGTTTATATTCAAGAGTGTAATGAACTAAGTATATTTACATACATTCAGGCCTATATATTTATGTACATTCAAATTCATCTGTTTTTGATTTTATCAATTCATAATTGTATTTCAGGATAGTTATATAGGTCTTTATAGGTTTTGGACACTATTCAGTTGACATAGATAGATAACATTTTTTTTTTTTTAAAGCTATTATAAGGGCAAAAATATTATTATTATTATTTATATTATATTATATTATATTGTATTAAAAACTACCCTTATAAAGGTAAAAATCCTTTTGAAAATCAATTCCAGGGGCAAAAAAGCTATCTTTGATTTTAAAAAATAATAATAATGAAAAAAAAATAATAATAATATATATATATATATATATATATAACTGCAGCCAGTATAGTTCAACCTTATTTCAGATACTGATTACTGATATAATATAATGCAAAATTTGCACCGCTGCATGTGTTTATTTTGTATTCTATCTATGCATGTTGCATGTTGTTGATTTCTATGAACTCTGATCCCTGTCCTTGTCAGGACAAGTTTTGCCGTGGCGAGCATCAAATCCATGCTGCTCTATATCGGAGACTGGGAATCAGATTCTGACAATATGAATGAAAATAGGGCACAAAACTGTGAAATATAGGAGAATGAATGACTGTTATCTAACAAGCCTTGTGGGAGGTTCATTGATTTTGAACGCCCCCTGTTGGCTGTGTGCTGCTATTGCACAACAAATTGTGACTCACAATTCTGAATTTATATCTCAGGTTTCTGACATTTTTCTCATTGTGAGAACATTCAAATTCAGATGGTCAAATTCTTGCTTCCATTTGAAGCTCAAGATGGATCATTCTTAAATCATTCTGGAGAACATCAGGTTTTACACAAACTTGCAGAGTTCATGCAGCTCTAATGCTGCTGTCATTAAAGCAAAAGGAAGATAAACAGAATACTAAGACTGAAATTCTATTAAAAAAGCTATTAAATCTTTATTTAAGCTACATACCGTAAACATTCTATGCAGCCTTTTCTGGGAATGTCTGATGGTTCAAATGTGTGTTGTAAGTGGAATATGGGGTGAGGTGTTGTGGAAACACTCTTAGCGGATGAGGTTGCGATGCATTGTGTCTTTTAAAGGATTACATTACTCTATCGATCCAGGTACTGAGCGATGAATTGCTTAGTCTGTCGGGTCATCTGAAAACGACTCCAAGTTAATGCACACTGCATGTACGAATTACGAAACACCAAATGTGTGTCACAGCCTTGCAGGTAGTGATGTTTATGTGGGCGACCCCTGCATCACTATTACCTCCTATTGATAAAAGTGGGCAAAAAATTTTTTTGATATAGTGTGTTGTTGTACTTCAAAGCCCTACTCTATCTTTCTTTTCATTTATTTCTAAGCCGAACACATGAAAGAGATGAACACGGTGTAGATCATCCAAGAGTTGGTTCAGGACAGCTCGGTGATGGAGATGCCTCCCATAGCAGGGCTGGCTTTTAATTAACACGTTCATTTAGACGAGAGATATATTTTAATCGCACATAAGAATCTTATCTTAGCCGGCGTCTGCATAATTATGCTTTATCTCTTTCGACGGTAGGTGTCGCAGACATCTGCGCCCTACGGCTGCATTTGATATTTAAATCATATTCTCACTGTGGTCTGGATTTTGGAGGGGAAAAAGACAGAGAGAAAGGCTAGTCTGGAGGGTAGATCAGAGGGATGCAGGAGATGGTAGAGGAAAGGTTTTTGCAATGCTTGTTTATGGTTAGTAGGTCTTTTGTTATCGGTGCATTTGGTTATTTAGTTTTCAGTTTTAATGCTTTATTGGCATGAAAAATATTTCTATATTCATATTGCCAAAGCATTTGCAGCAATTGCTGTGTGCAGTTAAAACGGTGCAAAATGAGAATAGTGCAAAACAACAGAGAAACGAAAAACATTAGGTCTCATTCAAAAAGTTCTGGCTAACACGTGTACCTTCATGAATCTGATTTTAACCTTAAATAGTTCACCCAAAAATGAACATTTGCTGAACATTTGCTCACCCTCAAGCCATCTAAGATGCAGAGGAGTTTGTTCCTTCAACAGAATGGATTTGGAGAAATTTAGCACTACATCACTTGCTCAGCAATAAATCCTCTGCAGTGAATGGGTGCCGTCAGAATGAAAGTCCAAACAGCTGATAAAAACATCACAATAATCCACAAGTAATCCTCACAACCACAGTCCATCAATTAACATACTGTGAAGTGAAAGCTGCATGTTTCTAATAAACAAATTGAACATTAACAGGTTTTTTCAAACCGTTGCTTCTGGCTCAGCAACCTTGAAAAATGCCAAGTGCGCCATCCTCAAAACTAGTTCAAACACAATAAATACTTTTAATACAGACCCAGATAACAGACATCTCATTAGCCAGCTGTTCATATGTGTATATACCTCCGTATGATTTTGTGAATCATGATATGTTCATGAAAATGATTGTATGCAGATTTCAAGCAGAAATGTGTTGCTTAGTGAATGAGACCCACTGTAATTGACAAAGAAGGGCATTAAACATACCAATGGATAAAAGTAATTATAATGAAAAAGTCAAAGACCACCTCTCACATTGGACTCTTGTCCTTTTTGCAGAGTTCTGCTGATTCCTACACGAGTAGACCATCGGATTCCGACCTGTCCCTGGAGGAGGACAAGGAGGCGTCTCGGCGTGAGGCCGAGCGCCAGGCCCTGCTCCAGCTCGAGAGAGCCAAGGTTCATCTTCTCAAATGGATATTACCTCACCTCTTAACATAATGTTGACTGTTTTCTTTGTTTTCTTGTAGACCAAACCTGTGGCATTTGCAGTGAGAACCAATGTCAGCTACTGCGGGGCTCTCGATGAAGACTGTCCGGTTCAGGGTGCTGCCATCAACTTTGAAACCAAAGATTTTCTACACATAAAAGAGGTGGAAAGCAACCAATGAACTGAAGTTAACAGTTAGCTTATGTTTCACTGTGATATTTTTGAGCACATTGTCTCCTATCCTACAGAAGTATAATAATGACTGGTGGATCGGGAGGCTGGTGAAGGAGGGGGCAGATATTGCCTTCATCCCCAGCCCTGTTAAACTGGAGGCCATGCGGATCAAGCAGGAACAGAAAACAGCTCAGAGGTCCACAGTTGCATCTCATCATATCTATGTAGTTGTTATTCAGTACTGTGTAAATTAGCATTTAAAGGAATAGTTCGCCCAAAAATGAAAATTTGCAGAAAATGTACTCACCCTCAGTCCATTCAAGATGTAGATTAGTTTGTTTCTTAATCAGAAAAGATTTGGAGAAATTTAGCATTACTTGCACACCAACAGATCCTCTGCAGTGAATGGGTGCCGTCAGAATGAGAGTCCAAACAGCTGATAAAAACATCACAGTAATCCACAAGTAGTCCTCACGACTCCAGTCCTTCAATTAACATACTGTGAAGTGAAAAATTGCATGTTTGTAAGAAACAAATCAATCATTAAGATGTTTTTAACTTCAAACTCTTGCTTCTATATAAAATACCAGTCCATAATCCATAATAATGCTCCAGTGAAAAGTCTGTCAACTGTTGCCCTCTCACATCAAAATACACAAACTTATTTGTTTAGAACTATTTTTCACTAGTAAATGGTGCTTGATCTGTGCATATTTCTCTCCTGATTCAGACAAGGTGACTTTTTCACTGGAGAACGAATAATTTTAGATAGAGGACTTAGGTATTAGGTACCTCTAGTTATAGATAGAGGTATTTTTTTCACATACTGTTTTTTTTGCCTACTATATAGTAGGGAAGTATGCATATTCAAATAATTGAATTATTGTGTTTGAACAAATCATTTGAATGGCTTTTAAAGAGTCACTTGTTGTCACCACCGACTGGCTTAGCTAACTACCTACAGAAAGAATCAATAAAAATCCCCACTACTAATATGCAACAATACAGTTGGTTTGGAATGCACAAAGACAAGCAGACTGATATAAATAAAGTGAAGATTATTAGTTATCATTTTTGGTGAACTACCGTAAGTGAGAAATAAACAATCTTACCTTCAGTTGCTGTGATTTGCCATTGCACTTGCTATTTATAAGAAATCCCAGCACATAAGTTCAGCATGGGATTTTAGTTTAAAGTATGATATCAGCATCCTGTAATTTCTAAAGTGTTTGTGTTGGTAACAGGAAAATGGGTGGAAATGCTTCATCTGGTGGCTGGAGGTCTACTCCTCCTTCTGCAGGTGAGAGGTATTTAAATACTCTCACACATTCCTGTCTTACTGTATCGCTAGTAATGTTGAGCCACTACCATTCCTCTGCATTTCCCTTCAGGGTATATGCTAATTTTATATGTCAAGATTTACATAATATGTCAGTATAAAATAGTTTTACCATTATGAACACAAACAACCTGTTTAGATTTTCTTAAACACATTTCTCTTATTTTAAACAAGCCAAACAGAAGCAGAAGCAGGTAGGTGGTTAAAGTTGCTTCCTTGCTTCCATAATGCAACACAGTCCTTCAAAAAGTGCTATTAAATATTCACAGTTTGTGTCTGGCCTCTCAGACAATTCTCTGTGAGAGATTTTAATGCTGTGTTATTGAAAATGCATCCCTTTAGGCTACTCATTAGATGTTGAGAAATGTTAGTTAAGGTTCATAGCTTGTGAGACATAACAATGTGTGTGTGTGTGTTCCATCCATCCTGTTGTTCTGGTTGGCCCCTCGCTGAAAGGCTATGAGGTAAACGATATTAAATTTGATCATCATGGCAGTTAAAAGACAGGCCAGTTGTTCTATGTATGCAGGGTCCAAAATTGACAACCACCAAGCAAGTAAAAGTTGAGTTTGAGGAGTAAATACAACTCTATTAGAAATTGTTCACTGAATCAAATCAAGAACATGCAAACCATTTACTAAAGAAAACATCACTCACTCATGTGACTTTTGTGCCTTTTAACTAGCACCTCTGTGGAAAATTTACCAACAGAAATTTGCCTGAAGGCTTTTTTTCTCCAGAACTCAATGTGACAACATATATATTAAGCTACCAAAATGAAACTAACAAGCAGGTGACCCTGATTTCACCAAGTACAACATGTTCCTGGATCAACATCCTTGTTTAGGGGTAGGGATTGGGTTTAGTCTATATTTTTGGATAGTAATGTTGATCCAGGATCAACAAAAGATGTTGATCCAGGAAGATGTCTTACTTGGCAAAATCACAGCGACCCTAACAAGCATGTTGTTTTATTATTATTTATATAATATTATAGCATTTATTAAAACGTTCAGTTTTAGTAATTTTCAATTACATTACGTTAAGTTATTAGTGTAATATTTGTATTTTATTTTATTTTATTTAAAGTTTCTTTCAATTACTGAAAATGATTTAATAGTTTTAGTTTTAAATAGTGCTGTCAAACGATTAAGTGTGATTAATCGCATCCAAAATAAAAGTTTTTGTTTACATAATATATATTTATATAATTATATTTATCATAATTATATTTAATAAAATAATGCACAATACAGTTTCATGGCCTATGAAAAGTAATTACAGTCTGTAAATTCTCATAATTCACTCACTATGGGCAGGCATGGCAAAAAGCTCATTTTGGATCCTGTTGTATGTATATGACTGCTCAGGCAGTTTTGGTGTGCGAGAGGATTCACGAACGTGAAATATTTAAGTCCAGCTGTGGCACGGTGCTCTGGACACATTTGTCAGTCAGCTCTTTAACAGAGACACCAGGGACCTGCTTCCCCTGCTGACTCTCTACCCTCTATTTCTGGAGTCATTCATTTTTCACCCCTGTGTCTAAATAAAACCACATCACCTCATCCAAACCATATTAGCCTTATACACGACTCTTCTTCCGAATCCCCTGCTTAGGATAGGACTCCTTATTTTCCCCCTACGATCCTTAGACAACAAAATCACTGGGTGGATGTTAACACTATTAATAGCTCAGGACCTAAACTACCTCAGATTGACAGGTTAATTACATATGAAACGTTTCTGGTTGAATGTAGAATGAACGTTTTCTCGCAATCTTCTGATGCAGGTGACTGATATGATGCAGAAAGCCTTGTTTGACTTCCTGAAACACAGATTTGATGGGAGGTGAGTGCAGAAACTGCTTGTTTCACTGGTTTAGAGCTTAAAAGTGAAAGCGTTAGTCTTAAAGGAACAGTTCACCCAAAAATGTGCATTTGTAAAAATGGAAATAAATCATTTATCTACCTTTTTTCTTCTGTAAAGTATCATAAAAGTGGTCCATACTTCTTGTGTGCTATGTTTTTTTTGTGTGTGGTGTGGTTTCATGGCAGGATTTCTATCACACGGGTGACTGCAGATCTGTCTCTGGCCAAGAGGTCTGTACTGAACAAGAAAGCTATCATGGAGAGGTCAAACACACGTTCCAGTCTGGGTGAGTGACAACATACAAGGGTAAAGCTAAATAGTACATTAATATAAAATGTGAAGTATTTTTTTATGAAGGACCTAATACGGCATCATTTGTTGTCTCATTATTAATGTGGCTCGTGTTATCGTGCCTGTCTCTCTCTCTCTCAGCCGAGGTGCAGAGTGAGATTGAGAGAATATTTGAACTGGCTAAAAGCCTGCAGTTGGTGGTCTTGGATGCAGATACTATCAACCACCCCACACAGCTTCTCAAGACCTCCCTCGCCCCCATCATTGTCTACGTCAAAGTGTCCTCTCCAAAGGTACAACCATATTTAACCAGTCAATAAATCACTTATTCTTAAAAAGCTATAAATGGGTGTTTCTCCAGTTACAGATTTATATTAAAACTAACTTCACTTGTATAAAGGTCACATTACTGTAAAACGGCCTGGGAAACCCTTTAAAATGTATTTTTTTATGTAGTTTTATGTATTTTATTCTTTTACTCCTGTCCCAGACTATGACTTTTCATCTAATATAGAAATCCATTATCAATTATTATGAAACTATGATCACCAAACACTAGTAAATTAAACAAATTATTATTAGAAAATTGTTTATATAATTTTAGACCTATTTTGTCCCTCTATCATTTCCACCACAATGATTATTTAAATATTCTTCAAATATTAGTCTAAAAATATTATTAAAGTGTTTTAGCATGACCAATGTGTGTTTAAAATCAGAGAAAGCAAAATACATTATTACAGTTGTGGTGGAAATGACATTTGCTGGTTCAGAAAAATGAGTTTTTCTGTGATGCATGTACAGTATATCTACTCTTGAACACTGATGATAGACTAATTAAAGAGATAGTTCTCTCATTAATTACTCACCCTCATGTCATTCCAAACCTGTAAGACCTTCATCACAAATGTGACCCTGGACCACAAAACCAGTCATAAGGGTCCATGGAGAGGTCAAACACACGTTCCAGTCTGGGTGAGTGACAACATACAAGGGTAAAGCTAAATAGTACATTAATATAAAATGTGAAGTATTTTTTTATGAAGGACCTAATACGGCATCATTTGTTGTCTCATTATTAATGTGGCTCGTGTTATCGTGCCTGTCTCTCTCTCTCTCAGCCGAGGTGCAGAGTGAGATTGAGAGAATATTTGAACTGGCTAAAAGCCTGCAGTTGGTGGTCTTGGATGCAGATACTATCAACCACCCCACACAGCTTCTCAAGACCTCCCTCGCCCCCATCATTGTCTACGTCAAAGTGTCCTCTCCAAAGGTACAACCATATTTAACCAGTCAATAAATCACTTATTCTTAAAAAGCTATAAATGGGTGTTTCTCCAGTTACAGATTTATATTAAAACTAACTTCACTTGTATAAAGGTCACATTACTGTAAAACGGCCTGGGAAAGGTAACTACCACATTCAAGGCCCAGAAAGGTAGTAAGGACATCGATAAAATGTGACATTTATGAAGCTACAAGAATACTTTTTGTGTGCAAAGAAAACAAATACTTTATTCAACAATTTCTTCTCTTCTGTGTCTTCGACACACATTCACGACAGCAACACAACGCATGGTCGTGGTACTTTTGTGAATGCGTGCTGAAGACTGATACGGAAGAGAAGAAATTGATGAATAAAGCCGTTATTTTTGTTTTCTTTGCGCACAAAAAGTATTCTCATAGCTTCATAAAATTATGGTTGAACCACTGATGTCACATGGACTATTTTAACGATGTCCTTACTACCTTTCTGGGCCTTGAACATGGTAGTTGCACTGCTGTCTATGCAGGGTCAGAGAGCTCTCGGATTTCATCAAAAATATCTTAATTTGTGTTCTGAAGATGAACGAAGGTCTTACGAGTTTGGAACGACATTACGGTGAGTAATTAATGACAGAATTTTCATTTTTGGGAGAACTATCCATTTAAATGTGGTTTTAAAAAGTGTGTTTATTTATAAGTTGAGAGGCCAAAGCCAAAAAATCTGCACACCAAATGAAATGCAAAGGTCCTTTGAACAAAAATGTATTCCTGAAGATTTACATGAAGGTGACAACAAAAACTAAATTGCACTAACAAAAAAGTGACTGTGCACACACACAAAAAAAGCAATTGTTTCAGTCCATGCTGGACTATCTTCAGTGCTATTTATAAGTCCACAGAGCTAAAAGTGTTGTTTTGCTTATTTAAATGATTAAGTTATATAGGTAGGTTCCGATTTCCCTTAAGAAACTTGTCCCTCATTTTCTCAGTGTTACTCATTCTACCCCAGGTTCTTCAAAGACTCATTAAGTCCAGAGGGAAATCTCAAAGCAAACATCTCAACGTGCAAATGATGGCTGGAGATAAACTAGCACAGTGCCCACCAGTGAGTCCCATTACTGCACACTCCTGTTAACATACATTATACTGAAGCAACAAGTGAACAGATGCGATATCTTGCACTAATACTGTTTGTCTTCACTGCGTTTATCTTGCATTAGGAAATGTTTGATGTTATACTGGATGAGAATCAGTTAGAGGATGCCTGCGAACACCTGGCCGAATACTTAGATATATACTGGCGTGCCACTCACCTGCCAGGCTCCGCCCCCCTGAACCCTCTAGTGGAGCAAAATGTAGTTACACCACCCTCAGCCAACTCTAGCCAACAGGTGAGTGTTTAAATGTTACTTACATGGCCTTCCCTTGTTGTGATGAAGCTTAAATGATCTTAAACACTCTCTCATCCTCTTCCTCTAGTTCTCAGAGACGCAGGAGCTAATTGAATGAGCACTACCACAAATTAGGGTGAGTGTTTGATTGCTTTTCATCTGCCAGTTAAAATTATTATCGTGAATGTGTATTTTCCTGTCAGGGCTTATTAATAATAAATATTAATAATAACAATCAATATCAAATGTGCACTTGGTTATTTTAAATGACAAGTACTTTTGAAAAAAGTTTAAAATAATGTCTAGCATCAGACTTTTATTAAATTTACAATGTAAATATGATGAAGGCTGTTTTTATTAAGGTTTTTAAATGTAATTTAATTCAATTCAATTCAATTCTGCATTTGTAACCAGTGTTGTATTAGTGGTATCTACAAACTATTATGATATTAATATTTTGAATTAGTATTTATTTTTATGTTTTAAGTTTTCTGTTTAGTTTTAGTTGGTTTTAGCAATTTGTTATATGCTTTTGTCAGTTATATATATATATATATATATATATGTGCACCTTAAATATTGACTGACAGAAAGCTTTTGGCCAGTGTGTTTAACCATAATGATCACTTCCTCCACTGCTCTCTGGTTGTTATAGAGTGACACAGAACATTCCAGAAAGACCCCCAGAATATTCCTCAAAGACCAGCCACTCACTGCCCCAGAATGAGACGGGGCTCAGAGCAACTGCCCCCCTGATGAGAAAGAGGAGGAACGGAGGGATGGTGAAAGAGATGAAGGCCAGCGGAGAAGTGGACCAATCCCAGCCTCACTGACAGTGACAACACACACTCTCTACTAACCCTGCACTAACACATGTGTCATCCTTTACATCTCAGGGCCACTCTGCTGCAGGCCTTCAGCTAACACACACACAAGTATACACACATTCAACTGGTCTGAATGTCCCTGCTGAGCCCAACGCTGAGATCAACAGGGGTTTCCCCAACCCCTTGGTGGTGCCATCTGTCCACCAGGTTCTGCCAGCCTGACTCTGGCACTGGCATCAGAGCATCCATACCATGCCCTCACAAAGAAGGGCACCACATGCCACTAACATCCCGCTCACTCAGTCTCCACCTCCTGCATCGCTTTTGGTTTGTTTTCAAGGCCATACCTTTTGCACAATACATTTCATTTCAATCAATCGTCAAATACAGTTCACTCATAATTAATAACCCAAATGGCTTCATGTAGCACAACCCTCAAATAACTAATTCATATACTGAAACCACACTTGGGACTTTTTAACTGAAAACGTTTTTATTTTCTGTTATATCCTGTTTCATTTTTCTTGTGTCTTATTATCCACTGGAAACTTTAGGTTTATGTCAACCAGGGCAAATCAACTAGTAACTCATCAGTATTTCCAACCACACTGCACTACTGTCACCCTTTCAGATCAATGAAAAGCAGACCACATGAATGTTTGTACATCTTTTGCCTAGATCTCATTATTGCACTAAACAGCCTAACATATTATTTATTTTTGTCCAACAGTGGTTCTCAACTGAGACCTCGCAGTTCTGTTCTGATTGGACACTGATTGGTGATAAAACTATGCTAAATGCACAGAATAAAATGCAACTAATATTATAATCATGCATAGTTAGGATGATAAGACTTGTTAAGTTTTAAAAGGAGAAAATTATATGGCATTTTGATGCAAATTCATCTATAACCAGGTAAATTAGGTAGATACCAACATGGATACATTGGATGACATGCTCTCATCTTTAAAATCATAAACAAACTGAAAAAATATTACCCAAAATATATTAAACTTCATTTGTAGTTGAGCGAAACAGGGTTTGTGCCCCAATGTTTTATGAACTTTTAATTTTGATTTGATTTTAGTTTATTATTTATTTATAACTATATTTGAATTCATATTATTAAGATTTTATTTTTAATATAAATGCATTTTAAGATTGGATTTTAAGAGCATTTTTTATTTCTTTTGTGCAATAAACAATTTTGGTGTTGTGTTGGGTCAAAGTAAAACCAGTTGAAGAACCTCTGCTCTATACTAATTTTTTAATTACAGTGACATCTAGTGGTTTTGTTTGAAACCACAAAAGTGAGACCCTTGCAAACATCTGTTTTCACAAAAAAATACATAATCATACAATTAATTCAAAAACAACTGTAAGATGTGTAACAGTATTGCTTCAGAACCACTGAACATCATTTTCTGCATTTTGAGAATCACAAAACACTGATAAAAATTCCTGATAGTTTTTTTAATCTTTTCCATTACCACTTATTTGCATGATAAGTGAAGATCTTGCTGACATATCTGCTGCTGTAATTGTTGAGTTTTGCTTGCTACTGTTCTTCCATGCAATAACAAAATCATTTACAAAGATTATCACACTTAACAGACTTATGTCTTATTTGCAAGACAATCTCTTCACTAAATGATCACTAATTTTACTCTTTGCATACATGGACATGCAGTCCCATTGTACATTCAAGCTAATCGTGACTATGCATGACACAATCAGTCATTTGTAGAAATAAACAGCACTGTAAACTGAATAGGGAGATGCAATGGACATAGAAACATATAAACCATCACAAACATCTGCTTGAGTATATAGAGTTTGCACATTAAAATGCATTGCCCTCCATCTATATATAAATGCCCAAACAAATGGCTGTCTGTTCGTTTAAGGTGTACATAAATAATATTATTTACATATATTGAACAAAAATGTTATTTGGGACCATGTTGAATCTTCTGTCAATTTTTAAATCACTGCATATGAAAAGCAACAAGCAAGAGATACAGGCTTCAAAGCACAATGAGCTCTTCCCAATTGAAAATATGCTTGATATCTTTCCAGGTGATTTGAACATAGTCCAAAACTATGTCTTTGGGTCTCCAAAGTATATTTTCAAGGCTGATTGTTTATTTTATTATATATTTATGTTGTTCTCTATCACAATATACTGTACTGTATGCGACACTGGAGGAAGGAGGAAGACAATGGCTTGGATTGGTAAAGGTCTATCACTGAATAAAGGGAAATCAATATGATTGCACTATTTTGGTTTTGTGTTTGAGGTTTTCTTTTGGTTTACAATGCAATAAATGCACTATGTAAGTGTGTAAACCCTCTTCCAGTAGTTAACTTATCATATTGTACAAATGTGACAACACTGACCCAGCACTAAGTCTGAAAAAAGAAAGAAAAAATTGAACTATTGTGTGCTCTGGAGAAGAAAAATAATGTAAAAGAAAATAAAAAATAAAAAGAATGGTCTCTGCATGGTTTCTGTCACTTTAGCTTGTGCTATTGATGCATAATATGTATCTGAAAAACATTTTAAATGATCTTGCGGTGTAACAAATACATTTTCAGATATAGTCTCTAAGTTAATATGAAGTCATAAAAGCTGCATGCACAATCATTTTAAAAGAATCAACATAGTGATGACATGTCCATTTTTCAAAAATACCTGTATCAGCTAACCACCCACATGTAGAAAGTTCCAAAATGTCAAATTCCAAAATTTCCACTAGATGTCAGTGCAGGAGCAATTGTGCAACAAGCAAAATGATTCAAACACTGCTTCTGATCTCTTAGTGTAAATACTTTTCCTAAAACTTCAGAAAATGATTGTTCTGTTATTTCCCAAGTTATTTCATGTTTATAAAAAGGCAGTTGAGTAATTGTTACTTTAAGGAACTATTTATGAGCCTTTTTAGTGTAATTCAATTTAGTTAGGTTGATTCAGTGATATTAAATGACATTTTTGACTTTAATAATAGTTAATGTTACCACATTAAGCAGATTTTAGATTACCTGCTAAAAACCTTTACAGTGCATGCATTTTTAGCAGTGAGGCTATTTTGTCATGTATTGACACAAAAACACACAAATATGGGAAAACTGAGGGCCAAACTCAGATTTGTGCTATATAGCACTCAACCCATTAAGTTATAAATGTAAAATCTAATTTCCACCATGTTGCCATGAATAAGAATTTAGCAAGCGAGAAAGCGATTTGTCTGTGGACACTGCAAGAGTGAGTGTTTTACTTAATACCAGTTTTCTGTTTCTGTCGTTAAGAATAAATATCTGCTTTAATATTCAATTTCAGTCAAATTTTCAGTTCAGTCAACTTTTTCTTATACATTTATGAATATGTGTTTAGCTTTAAGTAAACCCATTAATTAATGAAAGAAAAATGAACTAGTTCAATAAAGCTATTATTGTCTTCATTGCTATGTGTTTTCTATACACACACACACATATGTGTGTGTGTGTGTGTGTGTGGACCATGCGTGGACAATGTGTATATTGTAGTATGTTGAAAAATATAAGCACTACTTTCCCATATATGGAAATTATTATTTAATATATCAAATTATATTTTCCGGTATATTCCCTCTTTTTTTTTGTTTTGTAAGGGTGCAGCAAACCAGTTGCAGTGAACTGCATTACGAAACCCTTGCATACTGTATGAATGTGCTAGATTTGCAGTTCCAAAGTACGTCAGGCTTGTTTGTAATTGTGTTTACAAGCACCGTGAAGCAGACACACCATACCTCCACACTTTTCCAACACTACTGAGTGGGTCACCCTGGCACAGGAACTCATTAACACATGCTAATTAGCTGCCTGTGGGGCCTCTGTCTGCTGCAAGTGGGCGGTTGTGGGTCAGAGGGTGTTGTTGGAGTCTTTCTCTTTCTCTCTCAGTTGGTGTTCTAGTAGCAAGAGCTGATTACTGGTGTGGTCTGATATGCTCTCAGTATCACATTCCCTGTCATCAGAGCATAACGGGGCCGGCAGCAAAGCTCAAAGAGAGATTTGTCTAATGAGAAAGCTGGAGAAAAACAGACAGAGGTAGTCTGGATCGGCTGACCAGAACGTAAAGTTCGATGGAGAGCAGTTCCACTGATCCTTTTGACCTTGTCACACTATTCATCAGATCCACACATAACCTAGAACAAATGGGATTTGCCCTTTCCATATGCTGCTTCTCTTCATTTCACTATGCTCCATTTCCCTCCTGAGAGGCTGACACTGAAAATGCTTTCATTTTTATCTGCAAATGACACAGCCATCTGTCACACATGAGGGTTCATCTTTATCTCTGGCGCTGTTAACAAATGCTAAACGTCCATCTACAGAAGTTACATGCATGAAATGGCACAAATATACATTACATGCGTTTTAACTGATGTATAACATCCCAGCACTGTTTTTATGGCACAGCTGAAACAAATGTCTTTGTTTGTTGCATTAACAGGTAGATATACTGTACAGATTTTTAACTGCACTCAGACTGTGGATAAGACAATAAAGGACAGTTGTTTATACAGTTATAGACCCAATGCACCAAAATGAAAGCAATCAAAATATTTGAGGTCCTCTCAGAAGGAAATGAGGGGATTCACAGATCATTAAAGGTTAGAGTCGTTAGGAGGAGGGACAAGAATGTGTGAACAGTCCTATTGTCCTCATGTTTGAGGCTATTGATGCTGAAAGAAAACAGTTCAATTGATTACTTTGGACACACACACACACACACACACAAACATGTCAGAATATGCAGGAAATCTGGAAAAACTGGTAAAGGGCCTGATTTAGTTTGCATGTGATAGACCTAAGAATGCATGACTACACATATAAATGAGGAGTAATGGGACCCTGAGCATAATAAAGTACAAGCTATTCTGACCCGGTAATTTAATTTTCTGTTGCATGAATCTATACAACGCCTCTTGTTTAATCGTAAATGTAAACTTCTAATACATTTTATGGGATTGTGATAACATGTATTTCATTAGTTTAAGATGAGATAAAAGCTTTCCAAAAGAGAGGGCTATCAGTAGTACATAATAGTACATATAGTACTAGTACATACAGTTGAAGTCAAAAGTTTACATACACCTTGCAGAATCTGCAAAATGTTAATTATTTTACCAAAATAAGAGGGGTCATTCAAAATGCATGTTATTGTTTATTTAGTACTGACCTGAATAAGATATTTCACATAAAAGATACATGTAGTCCACAAGAGAAAATAACAGTTGAATTTATAAAAATGACCCCGTTCAAAAGTTTATATACACTTGATTCTTAATACTGTGTTCTTACCTGATTGATCCACAGCTGTGATTATTGTGTATAGTGATAGTTG